CTCGTTTTTATGAAATGATTACTGGTTACTTTTGCAAGACAGAGAAATTGCATGAAATTAAATAAAGAAAATCAGTTTCACTTCTTCGTTGTTCATTATGTTGACAATTCAGATATCATCGTCACTCAGAAAAAATGAAACATGAGTAGTGAAAACTCTCACAAAAACCACCTTTCAAAATGATAAGTGTTACTTTCGCATAAATAAACAGCAGTATTGTATATTATTTATTGTTAGGATCTTCTGGGCGATCTAGAATCGCGAGTAATCGTCCTGCACTGAAGTTATCAGAAACCAGTACTTATATTGTTCTTGATCATTTAAACATTTCTTTTATTTTTCAGTCATAACAGAAAGAAAAGTGGAACAGTTTTTAATTTAAAATAATGCAGTTTTCCAGAATTTATGATTTCAATTAAATTTTATTTTGCCAATAGTCATTAATTAAATTTTATTTCCGTTATTAAATTAACGAAAGAAAAATAGTCGTTGAAATTGCTCCGCTGTAGCTTCAATTTATGCAATCATTCAGATATTCGAGAGGAATGAGGTATCATACAAAATTAATAAAACGTTAAAAATCCTTTCGACGGTTGCGAGATTAAGCAAATATTTCTTCCCAAATGCGGGCGGTGTCTGTCAGTCGTAAATTTGTTATGTGAGCTGGTTCATTTGCGACCACTGCGGTGAGTAACTTGAATGCGAGCTGAGCTCGTTCATTACCATCAAAGGGGTAAAAGCTTAAGCTGTCTGAAAATATATTTTCAATAAATCTAGTTTTCTCCTGTAATTTGTATAACGGAAATGAGAGCCAATTTCTAATAAAAAGTCCATCTGTTGAAAAGTCCCTTAAACAGTTAGGCCTGATCTCGTATTTTATTATTTACGGTTAATTAAAAAAAATACGTGAAATTTTACACTTAACTATAAATCAAACAAAGGATGGCAGTGGTTGAGCATAAGACACTTAGTGTTTCACTTAGGTGATTGATTATTTCGACAAAAGAACTCAAGTGATATCTTGCAGAGGAGGCCTCGCAAGGAGCAACGGTCTTTTACAATTAAATTACCTTTTATTGTTTATTAGATTTGACACATTTGATAAGTACGGCTAATGCGATCGAAAGCTCCAGGCCTAAAGAGCTTACTTGATGTATTTCAGTATTTTGCCAAAACGTCATTTATTGTCTTTCCAGGATATTTTTCATGAATGTTTTGTTTTTATAATTTAAAGTTTTATAATGATAAACGGTGTAAGTACTTGCTTTACTCACTCATACTTAATTTCCTGTAAGGTTTTAGAATGCAACTTTAAACAAAAACTATATAATTGCTTCATTTTCTGTAACAAAAGTAGTTTAAAATACTTTGTACCAGTAATGATACTCAAGACTACTCTGTCAAGTACTGAAAACTTTGCGGTTGTCATAATGTAAGTACAACATCAGCTACATAACATTGATGTAACGAGTATCAGTAATTTTTAAGAGGATTTTGTATAATAATGGCTTTAGTTATTTTGATGATTTAAATGCGAAATTTTTCCTATGAAAGACGTAACTTTTGTGAAACTGGAACAGATGAATGCCCTGCATTTAGATACATAGGAATTATACAGCAAATTAATTTCTACAGCTTGGTGTATGTGTGTGTGTGTGATTATGGCAAAGACTCGAAGGCTATCTGCCTAAGGGGAGGACTTTCTAAGGGAACTGGCTCGTATACACGTTACACATGGGAAAAGCCACAGCTAGCACGTTCGCGGGATTCGAACCTCGGACCGAACTACCAGTGTTCTTAGATTTTGCCGCTCGGCCACTGGTGGGCCCCAGTACAGCTTGGTATTTGGATTTACTGAAGCTTATAATGTTAATCCAGCAGGACAATTTGGGATTTTAAAATGAAATAATGCAGAGAATAGGAATATATTGGAAGGAAAATTAAGTTCTGCGTTATATTTATGTATTTCTTTAATATATTTTTGAAATTTTTATCCCACACTTAAGATTTCTTCAACTGGCGCTTTATTCAAAAAATGGTATATTAACAAGTTCTGATTTTTAATAGTCACGATTTCTTACGGAAGTAAAATTATGCTTTTTCTTCAATTGTGAAAATGTTAGAAAGCGATGTATTCAGGTCTGAATATACCAAAATGTAATTTGTAGTTTATTTTCTCCCTCTTTCCAGGACGACTTCATTGTGTAACGGTAACATACTCGGCGCGTATTCAAGAGTTCCAGGTTCGAGTCCTGGGAAGGGCTTTTCTCATTTTTCGCACCTCCGGCTTTAAGATAATCTAATGTCTCTACAAATTACGGGCGTATTGTATGAATCCAAATTACATCACAGTTCAGAACCGAAGTAGTTAATATTCTTTCAACACATCAATTTTTCCACCCATGTTAGTTAATTTGATTGCTATGAGAACGTTTTAATAAACTGTTTTTGGTTAAAATATAAAAATTCTCAGTATTAAATAACACAACATACAAACAAATAAACTTTATGAGAATTATAAATCAGTGACTTAAAACAGCATCAAGATGAGTATTGGAGTGGAAAATGGGGTATGTAGAATCAGAATCATGCTTTTACTCTACAGCTTTTGTGAAGCTTTCAGTATAATCGTCTTAATTGAATTAAACGTTTTCCTTCAGGTCATTTTGAGATCACTTGGAAAAACTAAATTTGCCTTTATTCCGAAAAATCCTGTTTCCCTCCCAACTAATTATAGAATTTATAATAATCAGTCCGATATCAAATTTCGATTTAATTCGAATGTTCAAAATAAATTTAATTCTAAGACATGATTTCGTGAATGTTTCGCTTTTAATGTTTGTAAACAATATAAATATATAGTGCTGTATTTCTTTCAAAAAGTTAATCAAAGTAGTAAATACATATTGCAAACCAAACACAAGGCATCGGAAACTGGAATAGATTAGAGTTTCATTCCTTTAGCTGTTGATCTCAAACATATAATTCATGCTAAAAAGAGTCTGAAATTAAGGAAAGCATATTTATCAAATCGTATTAAATTTAAACATGGTAGGATTCCTTAGGTATAGTCTGAACATTTATTTACTAACTCAGGATAAACACTCTAGTTTGTAAAATGTCCATTATACCGTAAAAAGGGAAAAGCAGAAAGTTCTGTACGGACAGAATTCTCAGAAATACAAATAATAAATATTTACAAAAAGCCAGCTGTTATTTTAATAGCAAGAGCTGTTTTATAAAACACTGATTAGTATTCAAAGTAAGGTTATGAAGATACGTAAAGTTCGTAACTGCACTGCAGATGTGATTCAAAATTTTCACATTTTCCTCAGTAATAGATATTATCTGCTGAAAATAGCCACGTCATTAAATTCATTTTCGAATATTTCAGCGAATTTTGCTTTTAAAGGTACGGAAGTTTGATATGTAATTTTTGATAGCGCAATAATTATGTGACGAACTCATGTTTGCGCTTATAGAAGGTTAGAAGTTCAGCTTCAAGTGTTTAAACCGTTTTTATAAATTTCTCTATCTATTTTGAGAAATATTGTAACTGAAAACCGAAGTTTAAGGCAAATATTTAAGAAAATAAAAGAAATAGGTTCTGTGGTGTCTCATAAAACACCTTATGTAATACTATTATATAATTCATTAGAATTATTTACAACATTTAAAGATTTCGTTTTTAGTACATGATCCAGGTTTAACGAACTCAGAAGGAAACTGATGTTTCTTTGACTCGTATTCTGTCTTACGATGTTTCAAACGTTACTTTCATCCTCTTTTCAGCATTCCTTCGTGGTGTAACGGTAGTGCACCCGGCGCGAATTCGTGAGCTCCCGGTTTGAATCCCGACAAGGGCATTGCTCATTTTTCGCGTCTCCCACATGAAACAAATACCTAATGACTCTACAACACTATCTTCTTGAGTGTCGTTTGAAAAGTCGTCATCTGTTTATGATTTCGATCACGTAGGCCTTTTTTGGGCATAGTCGTGCTATTATTGCATGCTATTGATAGTTATCCATCTTCGGAATAACAACAGTGTAATTTCCAATTTGACAGATCAAGTCCATACGAGTAAAGAATTATGAGTTTTCATTATAAGCTATTTCTTTAAATTCAAGTTACGCTTATCTCTTCGACTTTTATATGCATCACAGATGATTTACGAAGAAAGAATAGAGCTTCAAGGTCATTAAAAAGCAGGTAGTTAACTGCAACGTATGTGGATTTGGAATCGTACTTTAACAGCCATTCCTGCTAAAATTCGTATACTCTATGCTGGCTACCTCTGATAGTTCTCCATCTTTGTAACATCATCGTTCGTTATTGGAGGAATTAGACTGATAAGGATACGGACATTAAGTATAGTTTCTTGAAGCTCTAGGTTTAAGCTTCAGTTGTACTAAAAGTGATAGTTAAAAATCATATTTCATTTTTAATTCAGTACCTTTCTCATTTACTTATTTTATATGCAATGGCTAAACTTCCAACTGCTACTAGCATTGTGCATCGTCAGTGTACAATATGAAAAAATGAAAATCATTATATATAAATGCAGTATAGTTTTTAAAGAGGCCCAAATGCAATTCAAATACGAATAATATTTAACATCAATAACCTAGACATTGAATCAGAAAGAAAGTCGAACTTTTAGGAAGCCAAGTATTCTCGAAGAAATGAAATTTAGAAATTACATTGAATGCATATTTATCACTTTCGTAGAAGAAAATCTGAGCAGATAATTAAACTCTAAATACAAATTTATGAAAAAATGACATTCTCCCTTCTGCTTTCTTCTTAGACATGGTTTACCGCAGCTTTCAGTCACAGAAAGGAATTCCAGTTTTTAGAACGAGATTCCAAGATCCTTTGCAAAACGAATTTAAGAAACTTAGTCACTATGAAATTGGTATAACAAGAGTATACGTAAGGAATTTTGTGTTATAACATATATATTTATACGCAAGGGAAAATAGGCAATTAGGACTTACCGATATGAGTTCTGAATCTTCTGCGTATGTGACACTTTGATATTCTCCGTATTTCCGCGTACTTGGGTCACCTTGGAACTGTTGACAATGTTGTCTCGTCTTCCGAATCACAAGATTTCGGAGCTGTCTCAGAGCGCTCTGCACATAATAATGAGGAAAATAAAAAAAAAACATTCCCAAAATTATTTCTGATATATATATATATATATATATATACATAGTAATAGGAGAGGTAAAAGTATTAAAAATAACACTGTTTTAGTAAAGTACTACAATAATATATGTATCTAATTAACAAAGTTTTCTGCCCTAAAAGTAATTTCACCGAGCGAAAGCGTTTTTATGAGAAACAGTTTAGTGATTTTTCTGATACTAAACTCCCATTTTCAGATTAAAAGAAATCATTTCAGTTTTATTTTGACGAATGTGGTATATATATAACACCAGTCTTAAAAATTACTAAAATTTACTCGAATTTTTCTTATAATTATATTAAATAATTATACTTTTTATAGGGATTATTTTTTCTTATTTTAATTATGTTTAAATTACATTTTAACTATGAATAAAAACATATAAGGATATTTGAAGCAGGTAAAATTTTAAACAAATTTTGAAATTCTATTGCACATAGTTTTGAAAGGTAAATTTTTGAGCATTTCCAAATCGAAGAATTAACGACCAAAAGAACCAATATTGTTCTCACAATGAGAAATTTAACCTTTTGCATAAAATAATTCGTCAAGCATGGAATTAGTTTTAAATGTTAATTTCGAAATACATATTTGTTCAAAAATATCTTAACAAGATTTAATCCAATGCGTTGACTGAATACCAATACTCATGGAATTCCAAAAAATATGGCTTCAGCCTCTATTTCCTGAAATAGGAGGTCTTAGACATGCTTCAATTTCAAATGTTTATTAAAATTATCACTAAGATTTTACAATTTTATAAAACGTATTCCATTTCCGAAGGTGGAAGGACTCTGTGAATTTAAAAATCCAATATTTTACATCATCTGTGTAGAAGAAAGTCCAGACAATATATTTTTGCTCGTAAACGTATGGAACATTTCTACTTAATTATTAATATTGGTTTTCCTTTGCAGATGAATTATGCATAAATTTTCTATTTAAAGAACGTTGAACTCATAGTTCATGAACATGCTTCATAAAATGAAAATAAATAGCTTATTTCATTTTTTTTTTATTTTGAAAGGTTTGTAATTATAATCACATGTCTGCGACCAGCAGTTAAACAAAGAAAATATGTAGTCATATTTTTTCAAATATACTGTTTATACATGAACAAATAATGTTAATGGTAAGATTTTCTGTAGCTTTCTTGTATTAAGTGTTTACAGAGTAGTGCTTTTTGTGCAAAGAAATCAAAGTTTTCTAAAATCTCATCTTGTATTCTTTTTCAAAATATGTACCGTCTATATATATACATATGTGTGATATTTCGGCATGAAAGTTTAGGCTTGGTTTTTGCAGAGTGCTAAGGCTAATCCAAATGAAGAGGCAAGTTGATTTAGCTTTTAATGGTACATCTTTATTCCATAGCTTTAATTCAAATGTGGGTAGATGAAAACAGTGGAACGTTTAACAACTTAAATACTGCGTAGATGACCGAGAAGACCGCAGTGGCTTGAAGGTAGCAGAGTGGAAAGCATGATGATGCAATTTAGCACAACGTATCTTGAGAAATGACAATCTTTATTTTTTTACGGATATCAAATCACCCTTTTTTCAGACAAGATGTTTCCTAATTACATTTGAATACAGAAGTTGAATTTTGAAGTACGACGTCATCTTAAGCATGTAAGCCGCAGTAGCATAGATTAAATGCGTCTTGCCAACAGGAAGGGGGCGCATTCGTTATTTATAATAGCAGTTAAGTAATAGGTTCGCGTAGAGCAAAGCCATCGTAATTTTTATATATTTCATATATACATGTAGTGCCGATCGCTTGGAGCTGTGAGGAAAACCAGATGCCGTGACGTCATTCTCACTGCGAGCTCCGAAAGCGCCAAGCAAAAATTAGGGGAATTACCGCTTTGAAATGATAGACGATTGACGTGGAAGCAGAGACGCTGCTTCTCTTCAAAAAGAACTTTGACGAATCATTACTTGTTTAATTCTCTTAAATGTTAAATTTATGTAATATCGTTTGTGTAATTAAAATGTCTTTTGTTAATTAATTTGTTCATTGTTTAAAATCCCCAAAAAAATTTTCTCAGAAGTGGGATAGCACTTAAGCACTCGAAGGAAACCTGCTTTCTTGGATTACTACCGGTTTTGTTGCTGTGCTGGACTATTTTACGATGTATAATGAACTGTGTTTCGAACTCCTAGGAATGTATTCTGATTTACCTGAACTAACTGCGTAATAGTGTGTAAATAGTGTGCAGCTCTATTAAAGACTGTGGAATAAATTTTAATAATACTGGATGTGTCAAGACGTGAATTGTGGCCAAAAATCCATCGGACTAACCGACACCATTCGTGATCAATTGGATGGTATGGAAGTACTTTGTTTCGTTTCTGTTTCCCGATTATAGAGCTATAAACATCGTGTATTACCATTATACGAAGTGAATGATTTTCTCAATTTTATTAACTATGTTTCTAATTGATGTGCCGGGAATGGAAGATGTCATGAAAAGTGAAAAAGCACATAATATAAAATTATTACACAAAATAATATTTAACGATGTGGGCGACAGAAATAATCGAAAAAGGTTAAGACAATTTAGTGGTTTCTCTTTAGCAGAGAATAGTAAAGAACTTAATGAAAAACTAGAAAAAATCAAACAAGATTTTCAGGCTTATGAATTAATTTCCATTGCCAATGTTTTGTGCATTGATAGCTCTGGCACACAAGATGACTTAGCAACCCGAATTGTTTCTTATCTTAATAAATTTAGAATTGCTTAAAAATAATGTAATTTTAGAAGAAAGTGAAAACGAAAAGTGATTTAGAGGGTGTGGATGGTGGGGATAAAAAAAGTGATGATAATGTCGAGATGAAACGAAACTAAGAAATTCGAGATGAAACGAAACTGTGAAACAATTATGTTGCCAAAGTGAGATAACTTCCTTCCCAATGTGCTAATGATAATATTCTTAGTACAATTGAAAACAAGTCGAATGTATTTCATAACTGTAGTATAAATGTTACTATTGAAGACATCAAATCTTTTGTTGCTCAATTTGATGGCCAAAGCCACGAAAATGTCAGTAGTTGGGTCGAAAGTTTTGAAGATGCAGCTACCATTCTTCAGTTAAATGATTTACAAAAACTGATTTTTGCTAAACGCCTGATGACAGGCAAAGCAAAACTATTTGTTCTTAGTGAACCAAAGTTGAACTCATGGCAAGTTTTTAAGAATGCTATTCTTGATGAATTCCGGTCCAGCTGCAATTCGGCCGAACTGCATGAGTTATTATCAAAACAAAAAATGAAGAGCAATGAAACATTTGATGAGTTTTTTTTAAATATGAAAAGAATTGCTAAAAATGGTCAAATTGAAGATGTTGCTTTAATACGATATGTTATAGATGGTATACCAGGCTCCGCGTTTAAAAAATCTTGCTTGTATGGGTCACAAACATTAACTGATTTTAAGAACAAATTGAAGCTTTATCAACAGATATGTGATGATGAAGAAAAGTCGCGAACGTCAAAAACAAAATTTGAAAGTAAACAAAAAATTGAATCTAGACATAAATATGACTCAAAAAATTCTGTTAACCAAACAAAGCGTAACGTAACCGATAGTCGAGGAACAATTCCTGAAATTAAACGTAATACAACCTGTTTCAACTGCGGTGAAAGCGGTCATATTTCCAAACAATGTGTTCATAAAGATAAGGGAGTCAAGTGTTTTAAATGTAAAGAATTTGGGCACCGAAGTTTCGAATGCTCAAATACGAATTCGAAACCAGAAGTATCAACCGTGAATATTGATGTAGTCTCGAAGTTGACCAAAGAAGTAAAAATTAATGATGTATATGTAACCGCGTTAATAGACACAGGAAGTCAAACTACTTTGTTATGTAGATCGACTTTTGATAAACTGAATATCGAAGGCCTCGTGCCCGTAAGTTCAACGCTGAGTGGGTTCGGTAAATGTCAAGTAAAACCTCTAGGTTTCTTTAAAGGTAATATTAAAATTAATGATTTCCAGTGTACTGCAGATATTTGTGTTGTAGACAACAATGTGAATGACACATGAAGCCATTTTAGGCTTAAACGTAATATTAAAAGGTGAAATATTAATAAATGAAAATGGGGTTACCATAAAAAGTAAGTCACAGAGTGTAGAGGAAAGTAAATATTGTATCTGTTTTACCTGTTGACCTAGCTAGTAACGAAGAAGAAATAAACATTGCACCTAGTGTTCCAAACTACTTTAAAGAGACTGTTCAACAGTTAGTTTCGAACTATATGCCACGTAAGACCAAATCTACGGACATACAGTTAAAAATTTGCGTTAAAAATAACGAACCAGTAATCGCATCAATCGCGTAGATTACCGTTTGTGGAAAAGAAAATTGTTGAAACTCAAATATCCGAGTGGCTAAAGTCAGGAATTATAGAACAGAGTTCTTCGGAATATTCCAGCCCATTGGTCATCGTTAAAAAAAGAAAGACGGGACACCAAGAGTTTGCGTTGATTATCGTCGTTTAAACAAAGTTGTCGTAAAGGATAGATTTCCCCTTCCCCTGATTGAGGATATCCTAGACCGCCTTCAAGAAGCACGTGTTTTCAGCACTATTGATCTCAAAAATGGCTTTTTTCACGTGGACGTCGAAAAGGAAAGTCGGAAGTACACATCATTTGTTACGCATGAAGGACAGTACCAGTTTTTGAAAGTGCCGTTTGGACTCTGTAACTCACCAGCTGTATTCCAGAGATTCATAAATACCATTTTCCGACCGTTAGTTAACGATGGCATCGTTTTGCCGTACATGGACGATATCATCATTTTGTCCGCCTCATACGAAGAGGGAATCGAGAGGCTGAGTCAAGTTTTAAATCTAGCGAGTGAATACGGATTGGAAATAAATTTTAAAAAATCCCAATTCTTAAAGAAACGAATTGACTTTTTAGGTCATGTCATAG